CTGAAGTGCTATGTCGTTCAACTACAGTAGGAAAAGAGGGGCGTCCCCCTGTGGATTTCCGGGTACCTTGGCAGCGTGAGGGCCTCACACCTCCATTATAAGTAATAGAACCAAGGGCTCGTGCAAGTTACACTGCAAGACTGTAGAGCTGCGAGGGGCATCCCCCTGTTTGAAAAAGAGACTACCGATTAAAGATTGCGCGCTCCAGTCAGGAAATCAGTCCATCTCGTCGGGGAGCTCTTGGTCGTCGTCTGGGGTGCCATAGAAAACCGCATGTAGTCGTCGGCGTCGATGGGATGACGCTCTTGCCCGCAGTGTCGTCCCTTCTCGTGGTCTCGGACGTGGTCGCGGGCTGCGGGAGCGGAAAGCTTGAGTTGGGGCTTCTGAAGGTGAGTCTTCAGTTGTTGATCCCCGGGGGTGCCCCCCCGCTGTGGTTGGCACTGTGATCTCCTCCAGGTTGTTCTCCACGAGGTAAATGGGGGAACCCCACAAAGCAGCTGTCCATGAGAAAAGCAAGTGGTGAGCTTCAGCAAGAACAGCGGCAGTCTCCTGCTCGAGGAAAGGCATGACCTTCTCAAGGAGTTGCTGGGCACGCAGTATTTGGTAGGGGGTAGATTCCCCTGGGCCTCGTCGTTGTCCTGAATCTGGTCCTGCAGGGAGTCCAGGGGGTACAGGTAGCACAGGTTGATCACGAACCGGTTGCATAGGTGGAGGTGGCTGCGCAAGGCATTGGTCCATATAGGAAGCAGTGCGGTCAATGGTTGTCAGCAAAGCTTCCGCTGCTTCTTGAATTCCCGCTGTGCCCCCTTCCTCTATGGCCAGGTCCAGGAAGGTTGCTTGCGCCATCGAGTTTTTGAGGCCCGCCTCGGTGGATGCGCGGGCTGCTTCCGGGGGATTGCCCCGAGCACGCTTGGATGTCTCTTTGGTCTTCTCCAGGATGTCGCGGATGCGGTCGGCAGCTCGTCGTTGTTCTCGCAAGGTTGTACTGCCGAGGTTATGCAGGAACTGTCGGAGATGTACTTGTACTTCCGCAAGAGGGTTGTGGTAGGGCTCCAGTGTGGCATTTGGCATGGTATTGATGGGTCTGTCCGCCGCCGCAAGGAGCTGTCGGAAGCGATGCAGTCTAGAGCAGGCCTTGTATGCCAAGGTGGTAATATCTTCTCGTGGTTGTAGAAAGCTCTGTTGGAGAAGCGAGTTGAGCACGGCTTCAAGACTGTCCAGGAGTTGTGGTTGGTCAGGTTCGGCAGGTAAAGGGAAAGGGTCCGAAGACGAGGTTGCCCCCGGTGTGTCCATGTCTTCAGCTGGTAGTTGTTGGTCAGCAGGAACAGCATCAGGAGGCCCAGGTCCATGTCCAGGCTGTGGGCGGTTGGATTGCATCAAGGCGGCGGAGTCGTTCTCGCTTGGCCAGCTTGTTTCGGATTCCGAGCCAGTCGTAGCAGTCCTCGAGCTCTGCCTGGGGTGTACCTGTTGTTGTGGAGCTGGGTCATGGGGACTTCGAGGGAGGCTTTCACGTTGTGCAGGTGGAGCTTGAGGTCGATGGGTTGTGTTTGCCCGTTGTCGTCGTTGTGGAGGTCCAGTGGGTTCGCGTCGTTCAGGAGGTGTCGGTGGTCTGGGCTCTTGTTGCGGCGGCACGACTGAGGGACCGCCTAGCCTTCGAATATCATCTTCAAAGCGGGGCCGTCGGGACCAGAGTTTGTCCTGGCCTTTCCATTCCAACCAGAAGCTTTGACCATTGCTAAGGGGAATCCACCCCTGCGTAGTGTCGGGCGGTGGTGCTTCGTCGATAAGAACCAACCAGTACCTTGGCGTTCTGGCGAATCCAAGCTCAATCTTGGTGGTAGCGATCCAAGGGCCCACTGGCGTGAGGGTCAGCCGGGTCCTTGGGGCCAGTGTTGAGCCTCTCTCCGTAAAGCTGCTGAGCGTGTTGAAGATGACCGCTGTAGGCTCGGATCGTAGACGTCCGGGATGGCGAACTTGGTCCCGGTGCTGTGGTGTCCACACAACGCCACGCCAGGCGCCGTCTGAGGAGCTGCGAAGGGTGAGCACGTTGGCCGCATCAAGAGGGACCGCAGGAGGGATCGTAGTGGGGGTTGCTCCCCAAAGCCATGAGTGATCTTGTGTGTTGGCTCCCACACGGATCGTGCTTTGGAGGGAGTCGGTCCCTGCAGCTCCAGTCACTGTCCATCTGGGGGCTTTCCCCATCGCCGTTGCCTCCGCTGCTTTGGCTTCAAGGTCGGAGATGTTGGCCGGGATCGCGGTGCGGGAGGTGACATGCTGCCCTGGTGGTTCCGAACTGGAGCTGGCGCCTGAATGGCTATGCTGTCTCAGGGGAGGCGGCTGGTAAAAAAGTGGTGCTCCCTGTGCTTGTCCCAATTGTCGCTCTCGGTTGTGGTACATGTCGATGTAGTCGGCTGTATCATGGTGTATAGAGGCAGGCCTATTGTCCACCAGGATGACGGGGTTGCGGTGCACGCCATCAATGTGCAACTGTGTTTGAGAGCTGTTGGCCAGTTTTCTGAGCATAGGCTGTCTCCTCGCCGGCTTGGGCGGGATTTCACGATGATCATCTGGCAGCTGAAAGCGAACTCGAGGACGTAGTGGTGGTGGTTTGGGGTAGCTCTCCCCACGGTGGTCAGGCTCTGGCTTGTCATCATAGTGTTGAGAGCCTCGGTTTGGTGGTAGTGGTTCACGCGAGGAGGATGAGGTCGATGTAGTTGCCATAGGGCGCTGCTCGGGCGGCTGCAGGTATGGGTTGTTGGCCTGTCGCCGTTTGTGGTCTTCCGCAGCTGCCGTGTTGGCTTTTGTGCCAGGGTCTCGGTCCAGGCTCGCAGGAGCGTCTTGTTGAGGTAGGCCTTGTTGTGTTGTTGCCGGGCTGGTAGAACTGGACGTCGAGCCAGTGGGGATGACTTTCCCAGTAGCATCCCTCTCGTAGTTTTGCGCATTTTTGAGCGCCGCCAGCATGTCACTATGTTCTGGGCGAGATCGAGGTTGTTGCCAGGGGGGTTTCTCCCCTCTCTGGATGTATGGGAGCGCTCGTCGCCAGGATAGCCACGGGGGTTTATCCCCCCAATTGAGCTGGTGCCACAAAGCTTTAATGTCCGTTTTTTGCCCCTTGTTCTTCACACGTTGACTGCCATGACCTGCGCGTCGTTTTGGGCGATGATCATGACCCTCATCTTCATCTGAGCTTGGAGTGGAACTTGTTCCGGAAGAGCTATCATCATCATTGGTGTCGTCGTTGTCGTCAGGGGTACGTTGGTTGTTGTTGTGCTTGTCGACAGCGTGGTTCTCAAAGTCCTCGGCATCGCCACGGTGTCCTGCAAGTCCAGCGTGGTCAGGGTTCTCGGTGGAGCCGTCGTCCATCATGGCAGGTGCGTCTGCTGCTTCGTCATTGTGCGCTGGTGGGACGTCATCGACATCTTGCGGGGGCGGTGCTTCCTCAGGTGTACATGTTGAGGAAGTTGCTGAGGCGTCTGAGAAAGCTTCCACGTGCTGTGGCAAATCGGGTGGCTGTAGAGAATCAGGTACAGGAGGTTGTTGAGGAGGTAGGTGAGGAAGTGCATGTAGTCCCAAAGGGTTGTCAGTCCACTGGTGAGGCGGTAAAATGGGTCCTTCGCCTGCGTAGTGTCTGGCCACGAAATTCCATGGGTCCATAGTGGGTGGTTGTCGTACAGCAAGTGGCTCGGGCAGTGACTGAGGTACCGAAGCAGGTTGTCCATGTTGTTCCGGTGGCACTGCAAAGTCCTGGCTTGCTGGGGGAATCCCACGAGGCGGCTCTTCCCCCTGGAGAGTGTCCAGGCCTCCCGGCATCAAGTCGGATGCCGCGTAGGCCCCTGGGTTGGTAGTCGCCGCGGATGAAAATGGAGAAGTCGTAGCAATCTGTTGTGAGTGAGGTCGGGGAGGGTGCACCGGATCACGGCGCGGTTCGTGCTCATGAAGATCGCGTTGTTGTTGGTCTTCAGGTCCTTGCGGAGAATCGTGCTGTAGTCGCTGAGGTCGGTGGTCATGGGGCCGTGCAGGATGCCGATCAGGTAGTGCTTGGTCGGGTCCTGGTTCTTGCCGAGGAGGTACTTGTTGAGGTAGGGCTCCATCGTTATTTGCCGAGGCGGGGCTCAAGGGCCATGAGGACCGGGACGAAGTAGCAGCATTTTGTCGAAAGAGAGCAGGGAACTGTGCAGTGGCTTGCTGCATGGTTCCTCGAGGGGGTCTCTCCCCTTGGGCCGGGTTGGGTTCCGGTATTTCTTGGGCTCCACCGCTTCGTAGCACTGGAAGGTTGACGACAGGTCCATCTTCCAGCACTGGATGGTATCCGAGGTCGTAGTCGAGGGCTGCGGTCAAATCCACCCCGTCGTGGTCGTCGTTGTGAGGCACTTCTGCCATGTTGTTTTGCCGCAAGCCAAAGACGTGCACCGGCAGGTCTTCTTCGCCAGGCGGCTCTGGCGGGGCAAGGGGTGGATCGGAAGAATCGCTGTCCTCCGGTTGTTCACCTTGTTGTTCACCTTGCTGGGCAGAGCGAGAAAGCGGCATTCCAGCACAGTGCGTCACTGCCAGGATGCTGAGCGCCCCCAAAAGAAGGCCCAGAGTACCCGGCCGCAGGCTGCTAGGGCGTCGCATCCAGGGAGTCCAGCAGGAAGTCGTAGATGCCATGGCAGTTGAGCTCCAGGGGCCCACGTGGCAAAATCGTTGGTCTCCAGTGCAGGCTTGGGCTGAAGCTAGCTGGCAGCACAATGGACAGCAAAGGGGTGCAAGGCAGGGGAGCAAGTCACAGGTTGCATGGGGTTGGGGCTTACATTCAAAAAGAGGTTCAGCAGGGCACTTCGAGAGCTGCTCTGGCGGTGCACACACTCCCTGGGCAAGCATAACAGGTGCAACTTTGAAGAAAGTACAAGATACTGAAAGCGAGAGGCTCGTTTTGCATCGGGCTGGTACATCCCGGTTCACGGCAAAAAGGTTAATTTGCCCTCCTGGAGACAGTGCTACAACTGGTCCTGCCGATGCAGTCATCCGTTCAGCAGAGCGCGGCGGGCTTTGCATGCAAGGATAACACGGCGGGGCTCTCCCCGGATGGCTTTGCGGTTGGCACGGGCGGCGGGTTTAGGGGCGGGATTACGCTTATTGGGCGCAAGGTTCGGCGCTCCAGGCAGAACAAGCTGGTTGCCGGAGGCCCATGGGGGATCATTCTGATCAAGGAAGGTGTCCCCCAGGTGCTGCCACAGCGCACGGTTTGCGGCTGAGATCCACCACTGCCTACCTGCTGCGGCTCCAATTTGTCTTTCCGGGTCGCGATGGGGATTATGGTGACCTATGTGGCGAACGCCTTTAGGGGCAGGGCCGGGTGTCAGGTTTTGTTGATCCTTCCACCAGGTAAGGTCTCTCCATCTCATGATGTGGAACGTCGGCTGGAAAGGCGCTCTGCCTACATGTCCCCAGAGGTTCCACTGCATGTGGAGCGTGTGCGAGGACCATCGCACAATTTTGTTCTGGTGCATAAGGGCTCTCGCCCTGCGCATGGTGCGAATATGCCACTCGTGCCAGCGCTCAGTGGGCAATCTGGCTCCTCCTATCATGGACCTGATCTGCAATAACTGAGTACTATTGGCTGCTTGCAGGAGCGAGGACTGGACAGGCCAGGCAGGGCAGCCCCATAAGGCAGCCTCCCGGACTAGGCTTTGGTGTAAAAGAAGCCTCTCCTTGAGTGGAGCTCGAGAGCACAAGACTTTCCGGTGCATGTGGAAAGATCGTCTGGCGCGTCCTTGCATCTCGGCAACAATCGGGGCAACATCCCCGGACATGCTGATGGGCGAGCCTAGGATGGTCATGATGGCATCGGGGCCATCGGGGGTTACCTGGACTCCCCCGATCACAAACCGGAAGGGGTCTTCTGGCGTGTTGGAGATGACGTGGGTCTTTTTGGCATTGATCTTAAGTCCCAGCGACAGGAGCAATTTCTCGAGTTCCCATAGGACTTTTTGAACGTATTTGGGGCATTCTCCCCAGACATATGTGTCATCCATAAAGGCGGATCCGGAGTGGGGTGGTGGCTCAAGGTGCGCATGCCTGCCCACATGTGGCGGACCACCACCATTCACTGCGCTCAAGGCGGCGTCTAAAACTTCTCCTATTGCAGCAGCAAAGAGAACAGGACTGTCGGGGCTTCCTTGGCGTACGCCGTTTGTTTGGTTTACGGTGACTTTGTGCTTTTGCACCCAGAAGTTTAGCTCACGGGCTTCGAGTAAGCTAAGCCACAAGCGCGCTTCCCAAGGTTGGCATCCGTCGCGCGCGATCTTGCGCATGACAAGATCAGCAAGCTTTTCCTGGGCTATGCTGTCAAAAGCTTTAGCTATGTCAATTTTCACGACATAGAATGGAGTGTTCCATTCATGCGCAACTCGAGTCAGCTTGCGCAAGGCAAGTATCAATTCAACACCTTGCTTGCCTTTGCTTGCGAATTGTCTGTGACAACAATCCTGCAACAGGGGCGAACCCCTCAAGAGAAGCAACTGTGCAACCCACTTAAGGATGGCGCTGGACAAAGTAATGGGTCTGGTATCGGACCATGAAAGTGGCTGCGCCGTCTTCGGAAGAAGCACGGAAGCGCCTGCAAGGATCCAGGCGGACAGCTCCCCTTTGTACAGGCTATCGTTGATCAGCTCAACAAGTTTAGGTCGCCAGCTGTCGTGCTCAAAGAGCAACTTGAGGGCTTCGAGTGCGATGCCGTCAGGGCCTGTGGCTTTGTGGTTTTTCCACTTTGCCATTGTGATGCGCATTTCAGCTTCCGTGAAAGGTCTCCACGGTGTGACTTTGCACATGTGAGTGGCTTGGTCTCGCATGGCTTGCATGGAGGTCCTGGTCGCTTCCGGCTTTTGCCTGCAGAAGATGGAGGACATATGCTCACTTAGCTTGCGGTCCCATCCTGGGTCATCGAGAAGAGAGGCGGCCCAGTCTGTCTTAGAACTCTTCGCTTTGAGTGATCGCAGTGCATTCCAGTCATGGGAGCCGGCTCGATCGGCGAGCTCAGTTTTCCATGCTTTGCGTTCACGCTGGAGCTCCTTGGCAATGTTCTTCCATGCCTTTCTGTTTTCCAATCCCGGGGGGATTCCCCGCACGGCACGCCTGAGGGACTTAAGGTGCTTACTCTCACGGAATTTAAGGGAGCGGTGAGCTGGCTCGGTGATGTGGGCAGCCACTTCAGCAACAGCCTGGTGCGGATCGGCTGCGGTGTTGCAAAAGCCATCCAGCAAGGAATGACATTCGGCTTTAAGCTGTCGGGCACACCAAATAACCCCTATCTTGGCGGGAGAGGGATTAGGGACATGGGCCTTGGCTGCAATGGGTTCATGGTCGGACGATGCTCGGTCCCGGGCTTGCAAGACTTTGGCATCAGAGATTTTCACACCCCTAGCGGCGATGTAGTCCAGTCGCCTCGCAGAGAGTTCGGGGTTATAGGGGAAATGGGTGGGAACATCCATGTCCTGCAACGGCAGGTGTATGTCTTGCTCCAGGCACCATTGAAGGATCTGTTCGCCTCGACCTGTGCAGGACAGGGTGGTATTGCCCAATTCACCCCCTGGCTGGATGAACGTTTCGTTAGCATCAAACCCCAAAAGAATTTTGCCACACTTGAGTGCAGGCAACTGCTCCCATGCTTGGAGGGCTTCGGCTGTCTTCTCAATTGTGAACCTGTGAGACACATGCCCGGAAAGGAGGCCAATGGTTTTTGCGTTTGGCTGGCGGAGCACAGTGCTCAACGCTGCGATGCAAAGGCGTGAGGATTCGTGCGAACCGAGGGTCTTGCGGTAGGCGATGCCGCAGCCACGCCAGTCGGTGGGTAGCTTCCCATGGATGAGCACCCAGACATCGTTGGTTGCAAAAAAGGGGCCACCCCCTGCAGTGACTGTGATCTCTTGGAGAAAGAGCACTTGGAGGGCGGACAGTGGTGGGCTGCCATGGAAACCAGTGAGCAAGTCGAGCACTTTTTCGGGACTCAAACCCCCTAGGTTCCAGGTTGCAAAAGGCAAGGCTGCCGCTTCGTATTGAGACGGCTGAGGCACATCAGAGTGAAACATGGTAGGGGATTCGTCCCCTGCGGTTTGGCAAGCCTCGTCCAATCAGCGGAGTGCCGCAAGGAGCGGCTCCCAGGTCTTCTCTAAGGCGTTGAGCTGGATGCCCAGTTGGGTGGCAATGGTTGGGAGGTCAATCCAACCACACCCCGCGGTGGTTGCGCCCTGCGGGGCAACGCTGCTGCCAGAGGATACTTTGACATCTTTGAACCAAACTGTGCCTGTGGCCCACTCTGGCTCAATACGGTGCAACGAGGGGAGGCCCCCTGCCTCGATGATCAAGCGTTTGACCTTGCCTGCAAGTGCGGCGCGGCGGCGGCGCTCTGGCGGTTGGCTGATGGACAGCCACAACTTGGCTGGGTTGCCGTCGGGCTTGCGCCCGAGTGTGACGTTGGCTGTGTTAACTCGACGGATGCAGGCCTGGACACGTTGCTTCATGGCTTCATCGGATTCACCTGAGTTGGGAGTGATGGGAATGAGCACAAATCCTCGCCTGACTCCCGGAACGAAAGCGTCTGACAAACTTAGCTGCAGTTGCAGATCCCTGGCCATTTCATTTGCCTTCTGAATGACTTCGCTTGCCAGGGTGTCGGGGGACCAGCCACCCATCACAAGTGCAGGGATCCTCCCGGAATCAGCTGTGGACGGGGTGCTCCCCGAAGACTGCAGGTTCTTGACTGTGCCCTCAAGGAAGGAGAGCCTTCCAGACATCTCTTTGGCATCAGTAGCGAGCTCCTCGAGGCGAAAGCTTTGCTGAGCCTGGGCAGAGGAGAGGGTCTCGACTGCCTGGAAGGTGCGATCATTGTGGGCTTGAAGTCCTCTCTCCAGTGCTGTGACTCGTTCTGTCACGCCCGAGACGGCGCCTTGGATTTCACCTCGGACAACTTCTCGAATTGCTTCCAAACTAATTGACTCATGTTCGGGCGCTCCGCGTTTGCGCTGAGGCGAATCTTGATCCATCTGGTCTGTAGCTCCACTGCCCTTTCCTGCCATGACGCTCGCTTTGGGAGCGAAAGCAAGGTACCGGCGGGGTACGCCCCCGAGGCGGTTTGCCGACAAAGTAGTCCCTGATCGTGCTGCGCAGCGGGAACACCTGTAGTGTCGCCGATCTCGTTCACGGCGCTAGTGTTAAAGTGCTCAAGGGTCTCGGCAGCTGCGGTTCACCTCGTGGAACGATGCACAACTATCTCGCGGGCGGAAGCGAGGAGCAGGAACAGCGCAAACTCTTTGATGTCCCTCTGCAGCAATCGCGCCGGAAGAGAGAGAAAGCAGAGAGAAAGAGTGCAAGCGGCCCGGTTGGAGGATCCCAGGGGGCCAGATCAAAGAAGAAGAAGAAAGAGAAGAGCGAAAGGGCGGAGCGGCCCCCCAGGTCCTTGAACCACTCGCGGCTTGAGCCAAAATGGCTACGGCTCTCTCTCCTCTCTCTCTCTCTCTCTCTCTCTCTCTCTCTCTCTCTCTCTCTCTCTCTCTCTCCCAGGCATTCGAAACGGCTCCTAAACCTCACACGCCAAACTGCAAAAGATTTCAACACAAGGCCCTCAGCCACCTCAGGGGCTGTCCCACTTGGTGGGGGCTCCCGGCCCGAGTCGCCCTGTGCCATACCTGGCGTCAGAAAGGTCTACCGGGATTTTTCCCTCCAACCTTGCAAGGACGAATGCACATCAGAGTTTCGTTTTGTGGACTCAGGATACTCAACTGCACAACACACTGGTTGTGAAACGACGCCGACACGTAGCGTCTGTGTAGAGGAGTCAGCTTGCCACAGCCATGGCTTTGCGTCTACCGGGGTTCGGCGCTCACACTCATACTCGGCCTGGCGTGGCATATGGTTCGAGGCCTGCTGAGTGAGACTGCTAACTGTGTGGGAATGAGTCACAACAATGAGCCCAACACCAAAACAACAGCTCTTCCCACCCAATGTCCCGAAACGTGGTTTCTGTTCAATCACTCTGAGCTCAAGGGCCTAGGGTTCCCAAGGTTTCGGACTTTGCGCTCAGAAGCTGTGAGCTGTCTTTTTGCTCGCTGCTCCTACTGCAACTCGTTCGGTGCCTGTTCCTCGAGCCTCGTGCTGCTGCTACCACCCGCCGCGCTGCTGCTGCGACTGCTGCTAATGCAACGACGACCACGACTGACTACGGCGATGAAGACGAAAACGATCATGGTTGCTTTCGTAGTGACAAAAACTGGTAGTGATAGCCGCGTTCGATTGCTTATAAAAGCGCCTCGTATAGCTGCCAGCTGCCGCAGTCCATGGAGGATGTCTGCCGATGCTGTGCGGGAGCTGCCTGGCACCTGGCTTAGCGGCTTCGGATTTCCCCCCTTTGCACTCAGACTCTGCCCTCTAAAGTCTGGACTTGGGTTCGGGTTGCTGTCAACTCGCGGCCGCGGTTGAAAATTACATTGTTTGGCTTCGGTCTTGAACTCAAACTCATCAGGTGTCAGCAGTCTTGGCCTAGATGTGAGATTGCACAAGGTTCCGTGGAGGCCATGCTTCGGACTAGCACAGCCAATTGTAAGCCCAGCAAAGGACCCCTCCAACTCAGAAAGTTTAGAGCGGTTCCTCAATGCATGCAACCCGCTCTCGCGCATCGAGGGGTCTTCCGACACTGAAAAGAATGGTAACATATTTTTCTCTCCTACCCCTCACTGGGCCCGGTGGTCATATTGTGCAACTGCTAATCATGACAACATCGATAATCAGGATTGCAGTGGTAATGATGATGATGATTGTGATGATGAGAATAGCGGTGACCCTGGGAACAACGATAACAATGCTAAACCTGATGAATCCAGATGATAGTAACAATAAGTACGAACAATACTCCCTAACATCTGCCGTGCCATCCCCGAGGGTCTCGCTAAGCGGATCAGGAAGCATTGCGCTAATCGCTTGTAATACCCATGCTAGCACTGGTGACATTTAGCGATGGCAATACTTTGAGTTCTCGCAGCATGAGCAATGCTGCAGTGCTGGAAACACTCGTAACACTAGAAACACTACCTATACTGTAGCTGAATACACAGAAGGACTAAGAATGATAACGAGATAATGATGATAGTGATCGAACAGCTCCACTTATTCCACTAAATGGGATATCTTACAATCAAAAACTTCCTGGCCTTGGATACCTTGAACTTGTCCTCGCGCTCCTTGTCAGCAAGTGTTTGTGAAGCACAAGTGCGGTTCTCGGGAGGGTCAGACTTCGGACGGATGGTACAACGGCCAGGGTTGTAAGAGTCCTGCACTTTCTTCCCAGAAAAATTAGGAAAGAATTTCCAATCCCCAGAAAGATAAGACAAGCAGCACTTGCAGCGCAGGGCAGCTAAGCTCATGCGCATGTGCAAATACAAGAAATCCACCCCAGCGCCTGCTTCACCTGGGCTCCGGCACGCCCTCGCTGCCCAGTCCAAGTCGGTTCACCTCGCCGGACGGATCAAGAACCGGAAGCTCGGCAATGTACCGCAGACAGGGTCTGCGGCCACGTTCCACGTGATTCTTAATGGTGATCGATCCGGAAGAGGATGGAAAGCATGAAGCCATCGGTGCAGGATAATGTATCTTCCCACTTCAATGAATCAAGAACAAACTGGAAACAACTGCTGCAATGACCACTTAACATTGGCGACAGAAGCATACAGACAAGACCGTGTTTCAAAACTAATGAGGCTTGCGGGACTGAAATCCAAATACCACCAACTTTGCCACACAAACCCTGTGCCTTTGCAGCCTTCATGAATCCGAGAGCCTTGTACTTCTATAGTTCCCGCTTGGAACCCATAAAATCCAGCTTTAAGAACTTTCAGACACCCTGTTCTTTTATTGAACCAGGAGCCTGAGATAGCTTGAGCTCATGCCTGGAGTGTCCATGTGACCACAAGCCCTCCACACCGCTACCAAAACGCCCTAAACCCTTAAATCCTTATAACCCTTACAATATTCCTTAGGATAGCCCATATAGTAACTTAGTAACCCTTTTAAATAACCGTTTTTTGGCACTCACACTCGACGTAAAATAACCGTTACAACCCTTAATAACCCTTATTATAGCCCCTATAACCCCAAAGTTTCAGAGCCCAAGAAGCTGATGTGGTGCGCGGAGCGCTCCCGGGCCGAGCGCTTCAGCGCGTCCAAGGCACGCTGGGCCACGAGGCCGGCGCTCTGGCCGACCAGCCTTACTACTGTTGATGATATATGAATCCTGCATTACCCATACTACCGGATATTCCATAATTCCCATAGTTTTGGGTCCTTAAGGTACTGCAGGATGTCTATCATCAACCGTAGTATACGGTTTAAAATTTAGGGTTGTCTAGGGATTTACGGTTTGGAGTTTAGGGTTCAAGGCCCAGGGTTTAGGGTGTGTCCATCGTGTTCGCTCGCTCGGGTGTAGAGCACCCTGAGCCGCTCGCTCCAAGCGAAGCTAAGTTTTCCCACCTTCGACTAGGGCTTATTAGCCCCATCAGGGAGGATTTTCCAACCAAATCAAGGACCAGCACCGACCTCCCAAGCCCGTCACACCGAGCATGTGCCGCTAGGTTTGGGAAATGCATGTCGGGAGTATCGCAATGGATGCTGGAAATGAACCTTGAGGGAACATCCATTAACACGCTGGAGCCGCTGGAGTGCAAACTGAATGCGGCCACAGTGTTCTTTTCGTACTGCGCCTGTCGGTGCAGGCTGACCTTGGCTCAGCCCAGCCCACCCCAGCCCACCCCAGCCCACCCCAGCCTGCCCAGCCCGCCCGACCCCATCGAATAGCCATGTTACATCCATTTTGCGGGGAGGCGTGAATCCCACATTAATTTTACATCCATGTTGCGGCAGGCGCAAATCCCACATGCCCAGCCGAGGCCACTGTTTCAGCGAAAAGCAAAGACACACTTGATCCATCCAAGCAGGAAGCCGCAAGTGCCAGCGCAGCGCCGCCAGAGGCCAAGGCAAACTCCGGGCAATGATTCGAAAATCAAGCGGTGAGGGCAACCTTTAAGAGCAAGAAAGTTAGGGAAAAGCAGAGTGCAAACAAGTTTCCCTAGCTGCTCCGGTGCAACAGTAAGGCACTATAGGCCTCAGCAACCCACAGCGAGTACCTCGATGCGACTTCAGAAGCAGCACGGAGGATCCTCAATTCCCGATCTCGGGCCTCCAGTCTCGCCGCTCAGACCCTTGCCAGGCTCGGAGCACACATTGCTTAGCAGCGGTACTCGTTGAGGCGCCGAGCCCATACCTCAGAGACTCCCTCAGGCGGCTGCCATCCTCGAGACACGAGCATGCGCCGGCACTCAAGTGCAAGCGAAAACAGTGCCAGCACGGCGCAGCGTCTGGAAAGCACAGAAGAAGCTTCGGACCGCCCCGAAGAGCAGCCTGCAGCAGCCCCAAAACCTCGTCGCGAGCCTCATCGAACTGACCTGGGGGGAGCGGAAGCTCCGGCACTGCGACAGCAAACAGCCTTTCCTCAAGCAAGGTCAGCGGGATCGCCGACACCGTGGGCCCTGCGAATCGGCTCAAGCTCTGGACACTGAAACACAGGGTGAGGCCTGCTAGGCATCTCAAGGCCACAGAGGCACCTGCTGTGCCATTGGAACTATAGGGGCACTTGTGAACCGCGCTCTGAAACCAAACCGAACAAGCCGAGCCTAAGCACACAAGACTAGTAGACCGGGCAACGCCCTGTTCGAAGAACACGTGGCGATAGGCCTGGGCGCACAAAGCGAGGCGAGCGGCAGGCTTAGGCAGAACAATGCCCTGCGCCAGGGACGGATCATCCGGCCTATGCAACGAAGTGGCTATGCGGCACACCTCGGCCAAAGCAGTGCGCTTGAACTCGTGCTCGAGCCAGCTGCGCAAGCTCGACAAGCTGTCAACACCAATCCGAAAGCAGCGGATCTGACCCTCCCCATCCGTCTGGTGGATGGTGGCCCCATCAGCAGAAGCCCACCACGCCCAGTTGCGAAGGACCTTCGCGGACCCAGGAAGGAGAGCAGGCCAATGCTTC